TTATAAGGGAGAACATGTGATATCTGGTTTTCTGTTTCTATATTACTTTGCTTAGGATAATGGCCTCCAGCTGTATCCATGTTGCTGCAAGGGACATGATTTTGTTAGTTTTCATATCTGCTTAGTATTTCATGGTATATATTGTACTACATTCTTTATCCAGTCCACTGTTGATGGACATCTAGGTTGAATCCATGTCTTTGCTATTGTGACTAGTACTGTGATGAACATAGAAGTGCACTTGTCTTTTTGGTAGAACAATTTCTTTTCCTTTGGATATATGCCCAGTAATGGATTGCTTTGAATGGTAGTTCTATTTTTAGTTCTTTGAGAAATCTCCAAACTGCTTTCTACAGTGGCTGAACTAATTTATGTTCCCACCATCAGTGTATAAACATTTCTGTTTCTCCACAGTCTCACCAGCATCTGTTATTGTTGTTGTTTAATTTTTAATAGTAGCCATTCTGACTGGTATGAAGTAGTATCTCATTGTGGCTTTGATTTGTATTTCTCTGATAATTAGTGATGTTGAGCATTTTTTTCTGTGTTTGTTGGCCGCCTGTATGTCTTCTTTTGAGAAGTGTCTGTTCATGTCCTTTTCCCACTTTTTAATGGGGTTGTTTTTTGCTTGTTGATTTAAGTTCCTTATAGATGTTGGGTATTACACCTTTGCTAGCTGCATAGTTTGAGAATATTTCCTCCCATTCTGTAGGTTGTCTGTTTACTCTATTGCTAGTTTCTTTTGCTGTACAGAAGCTCTTTAATGAGGTGGAAAGGGGAATGTTTGATTATAAACTGTCATGCGAGATCTTATTTGAGTAAAAGAAATGTTCTGTAACTGGATTGTGTTTTATAACTCTGTACATTTTCTAAAAATCATTAAATTGTATGCCTAAAACAGGTAAATTTTATGCTATGTAAATTATACTTCCATAAAGCTGTTTTTGTTTTTGTTTTTTAAGACATAGGCTAGGTACAATGGCTCATGCCCATAATCCAAGCACTTTGAGAGGCCAGAGTAGGAGTATTGCTTTAGGCTGGGAGTTCAAGACTAGCCTGGGCAACATGGTGAAACCCCATACAAAAATACAAAAGTAGCCAGGTGTGGCAGCTTGCACCTGTGGTCTTAGCTACTCAGGAGGCTGAGGTGGGAGGATTGCTTGAGCTGAAGAGTTGGAAGCTGCAGTGAGCTAAGATAGTGCCATTGCATTCCAGCCTGGGTGACAAGAGTGAGATCCCATCTGTAAATACATAAATAAAAATAAAGGACACTAAAAGCAATTAGTCAAATTCAGAACATGGATGTTCTATAAGATAGGTGACCCAGTCTAACAAATTAATGGCTTTGTAGAGGAGTAAGAAAGGGGAATTTTTTTTTTTGGAGATGGAGTCTCACTGTCGCCAGGCTGGAATGCAGCGGCATGACCTTGGCTCGCTACACGCTCTGCCTCCTGAGTTTAAACAGTTCTCCTGCCTGTCTCCTGAGTAGCTGGAACTACAGGTGCACGCCACCAAGCCCAGCTAATTTTTGTATTTTTAGCAGAGACGAAGTTTCACCATGTTGGCCAGGATGGTCTCAATCTCTTGACCTCGTGATCCGCCCACCTCAGCCTCTCAAAGTGCTGGGATTACAGGTGTGAGCCACCATGCCTGGCCAGGAATTTTCTTTTTAAGAGTCAAGGTCTCGGCTAGGCATGGTGGTCCATGCCTGACATCCTAGCATTTTGGAAGGCCAAGAGGGGGGATCCCTTGAGCCCAGCAGTTCAAGACCAGCCTGGGCAACATAGTGAGACCCTGTCGACAAATAATTTGAAAAATTAGCTGGGAATGGTGATGCATGCCTGTAGTCCTAGCTACTCAGAAGGTTGAGGCAGGCGAATAGCTTGAGCCGAGGAGCTCGAGGCTACAGTGAGCTGTTATTGCCCCACTCCACTCTAGTCTAGGCAATAGAGCAAGACCCTGTCTCACACACAAAAAGAGAAAAAGAGAGAGAGAGACAAGATTTCACTATGTTGCCCAGACTACCGTCAAACTTCTGGGTGCAAATGATACTCCTTACTCAGCCTCCTGAGTAGCTGAAACTGTAGGCACACACCACTGCACCTGGCTAGAAAGGGGAACTTTTATGGAATTTTGTTTTTTTTGAGACAGGGTCTTGCTCTGTTGCCCAGACTGGAGTGCAGTGGTACAGTCATGGCTCACTGCAGTCTCAACCTCTTGGGCTCAGGTGATTCTCCCACCTCACCCCCAACCCAAGTAGCTGAAACTACAGGCTTGCACCACCACGCCCAGCTAGTTTTTATATTTTTTTGTAGAGACGAGGTTTCACCAGGTTGCCCAGGCTGGTCTCGAACTCCTGAGCTCGAGTGATCTGCCCGCTGCAGCCTCTCAAAGTGCCACAAATCACATTTGCTACAGTCGTACTCAACATTTGCTACAGCCTATTCCTTGAGGAATTTCTTAGAAGTTGAGAATTTCAGAAACTTAAACCGGGAAAGTACCTTTTACTTGCTTCCTCATGCTCACTGTATACATTAATTGGCTTGTGTGTGGTATGGGTGTGGGATTCCCAAGTCTCTGACTCTTCTTTTTTCTTTTTTTTGAACCAGAGTCTTACTCTGTCTCCCAGGCTGGAGTACAGTGGCGCAATCTCGGCTTACTGCAACCTCTGCCTCCTGGGTGCAAGCGAGTTTTCTGCCTCAGCCTCCCGAGTAGCTGGGCTTATAGGCACCTGCCACCACTCCCGGCTAATTTTTTTGTATTTTTAGTAGAGATGAGGTTTCACCATGTTGACCAGGCTGGTGTCGAATGCCTGACCTCGTGATCAGCCCGCCTCGGCCTCCCAAAGTGCTGGGATTACAGGCGTGAGCCACCGCACCCGGTGTCTCTGACTCTTCTATTGCACTTTTCCCAAAAGAATAGAAGCCTAGCATGGTACACCATAACTTCTTGGATAAATTGTTCCAGGGGTATACAGATCCCATGAGAATATTTTTTCTTAAAACTATAAGGCAACCAGGTGCGGCGACTCATACCTGTAATCCCAGCACTTTGGAAGGAGAAGGCAGGGGGATTGCTTAAGCTCAGGATTTCAAGACCAGCCTGGGCAACATAGCGAGACCTTGTCTCTACTAAAAATAAAAAAAAATTGGCCAGGTGTGGTGGTGCATACCTGCAGGAGGCTGAGGCAGGAGGATCACTTGAGCCCAGGAGGTAGAGGCTACAGTTAGCTATGATTGTGCCACTGCACTCCATCCTAGGCAAGTGGCCGTCTCTAGCCAGAGCAAGATGCTGTCTCTAAAAATGAAAATAACCTACAGGGCAGTCAAAGCAAAGCAATACAGAGTTAGAAGAACCACAACCAGGCATCTATGACTGGAATCTTCATTTTTTTCACTGTACTCCTTCCCTTCTCTTCCCTGGGTGTTTATTTTTATTAAAGAAAATGACCTCAGACATTACAAGCATGGCATTTTTTATACCTAGGCAGATGCCTTAATTTGACCTAATTTTATTTATTTGTTTATTCAACAACTATTTATTGGACATTTATTCTGTGTGAGGCACAATGCTAAGTGCTAAGGCTGTGAAGATAAATCTCTGCTCTACTGAATTTCAGTCTAGTGGGAGAGAGAGACAAGGAAATAGTCTGTTTCTTTACTGTATAAGTTATCCAATAGAGGTAGACACCAAGTGTTGTGGTAGCACAAACTTCACTGTTGTCAGTGAAGGTTCCTAGAGGAAGTGTATCCTGGGCTTAGTCCTGAGGAATAAATAAGAGTAGGAAGTTAGGGTTATTCATAGAATTTTACTCCATCTTCTGTGAAGATGGAGAATACATACCAAATCCTGGAGGCAAAAGAAAACATGGCTAAGGTATGGTCTGGGGAAAACAGGATAATTAGGGTAGAAGCAGGAAAATGTTTGTTAAAAGAATTGTATGGAAGAATTTATAATAAAGGCCAGGTGTGGTGGCTCACACCTGTAATCCAACCACTCTGGGAGGCTCAGGTGGGTGGATCACTTGAGACCAGAAGTTCGAGACCAGCCTGACCAACATAGTGAAATACCATCTCTACTAAAATATAAAAATTAGTGGGGCATGGTGGTGTACAAATGTAGTTTCAGCTACTTGGGAGGCTGAGGCACAAGAATTGCTTGAGCCTGGGAGACAAGGTTGCAGTGAGCTGAGATCACGCCATTGCACTTTAGCCTGGGCAACAAAGCAAGACTGTCTCCAAAGGGAAAAAAAAAAAAA